CTGTATACATAAGTATATATTTTATATACTTAATATAGTATAGATACTGCTCTGCAATTGCTTCTTTTACTTAATAGTTAACATAGTAGACATCCTTTTATACCAACTCACATGAGACTCATTTATTAATGTCACAATATTTTGATTTTGGATGTGGAATCATGTATATTTAATGACTTCCTTCTTTAAGGATATTTAGGTTGCATAGAGTACAATTTAATATAGCCAGGTTAGAGCTCAAAAAGACATGCCTACATCAACTTTATTTACTCGAGATTGTTATCCATCTCTCAGAATGATCCAGAGTTCTTCAATTTTCCCTATAATTTTTTCTACTGGATTATGGCATGAAGGCCTTATGCTTAACCAGAAATCACAAAGTCAGCTCAAAATATAAATCTACAAACACACATGTACCCAAATGCCTGGTTATAGGACTGTGGAAATGTACATTCACACAAGACGACGTCATCACTCTCAGAACCACAAGCCTGTTGATCTCTGTAGAAACCAGTAATACATCCTGCCAACCTGAGGCCCATTCTGGCACTTGTCAGCACCTGGACACCACCTGTTCTTCTTGTCAGGCATTACGGTCCATCCTTTCTTCTGTTTGTATCCCTAACACCCACACCAGACATATCTGACTTGCAAGGACAGCAGGTGAGTCAACCCTGTGGCTACTGCTTCTGGTGAAGTGCATTGCTCAGAGGACGAGGCAGGGCTCTGGAGACTTGGCCCGAGGCTGCAGACACCAGTGCAGAGAGGCCCGGGGAGTCCCTAACCGTACCCTCAGCTTGCTCCCAGGCACGTACCCTCAGCTCCCAGGCATGTACCCTCAGCTCCCTCCCAGACACGTACCCTCAGCTCCCAGGCACGTTCATTCTTTTGGCAGTAAGTTGCTGGGAACCAGGGGAGAAACCAATTAGAACCCAGTGTCAAGTACTTTTCAATAATAATGAGCCTTACACAAAGAGCCTTTATAAACCCTGCCTAACTAGATTCTCACCCAATTTTGAGAACCAGGAATTATTAGCCCCATTTTATAAATGAAGAGGCCAACTCATAAAGACCAGAGCTTGTGACGGTCAGGGCAGGGTTTGACTATGACCCCCCACCCCAAGCAGGACTCTCCAGGGGCCAGGAACCTTTGGGAACTGATTGAGTTTCTCTAGCAGGCCCAAGCCTTCCCCTGGATCATTTCTGTTCAAATAAACCCCCAGTGACTTGTCACCATGGTGCCCTCTGCAATTCCATTAAGTTGATAATGGCAACTCCAGCATCAGAAATTAGGGCGTAGGGAGCAAACTAAGCCAGCACCCCACCTGTTTACTCTGTGATGAGTGGACGGCTAGGGCATGGAAAAAGCTGAGGCCTCCTGGAGAAGGCTGTCACTCAAAACCCTTGCTCCTCCCACACTCCTGCTGGGTCTCCCCCAGCTTTAAGGTGACAGGATGCTGCTTACTATTCAGTGGGAAACCAACAAGCAAGTCCTGAGAAGGTCAGCCACAGTCTACCTTCCCACTTCTCCCAATCTTCAACACAGATGACAGACCGCATCCTCACAACAGAGAAGACATCTGGTTCATACTGGCAGAAAATTCCATTGTCACTTGTCCCTGATCCACTGCATCGGGTCAAAGAGACACCATCACCCCAATCATTTTCTGGGTCAAGGAAGTCTCTGGGTCACTGAAATTGCTACTATATGCATGATTTTGGTAGACATTTGTCTCCCTGGGCCTTGGAAGTCTTGACCAAGACCCTGGAGTTGGCTATAACAATTAATTAAAACACTAGGTTCAAACGAGGTATGTTCAGCTAGAAAAATAAGTGTACCAACTCTTTTACATCATATTCTAATGCAAAACCCAAAAAGACAACAAATGCATGACGTGCTAAGCTCTGTGGCTATGAGCCGTATTTTAATGAGAGAACGTTAAAACTTTCAATACGGTGCTTTGGTGAATCGGGCCAGTTTCTTCCTATTTGGGGACACAGTGTTATAAACACAAGCTTCTCATTGATGCATAATGGCTTGTGTGCTCTCTAGCTTCCAACACAGGGCTTTCCTCCGAACCTCACACTGCACAAAAGTAGCACCCCATCAGTCAGCCCCCCGCCGGCTCACGCAGGGAGGCAGGCCAGGGGTCGGCACAGAAGCCCCGCATCAGGCGCGGGCCACAGCGCCATCCCGGCGCACTGCCGCCGCGTCCTTCCCCCTTTCACATCTGAATGTAAAAACAGACCAATACTGCGCTACATTTTCTAGACAGGCATATAGTATTACCGTCTGGAACTTTCCATGGGCCTCCTCGGGTTACCATACATATTAATACACACACCAGCATGTGAAGAAGGGAAAATGGGGGGGGGGGGCTTGGTAATTATTTTTAATTGAATTCATCTGGGAATTTTAAATGCTGGACATTTAGTCCTGTTTACAGTAACTGAAGATTAGAATGGCGTATGAGTTTTGTCCTTTTGAATGGCAAATCTCCCTTTTCCATTTAAGTGAAAGTTTATTCAGCGTGTAATGCATTTCAGAGCCAACTGTAAAAATCATTAAGCTATGGAACTACGGAATGGGACAGTGGTGACAATATGAGACCCTCTGCACTCCTCTGAAGAGTCTAGTCTTCCCTGCTTCCCACTCAGGAACAGGAGCTTTATGTCTCTGTAAAGATGATGCTTGAGCCCCCTCTTAGTTGTGTTAGGACCATGGTGACCCCAGAACCGAAGAGCAGTTGAATGGAAGAGTTCCGTGCGCATCTGAAACTAGACCTTGCTTCACTGACTTTCAGCAAGCCACTTCGCCAACGAGTGAGGCTCTGTGGTACATATGTCACCGTTTCTGAGCATGACATCCCTGTCATAGGTGGTCTGAAAAGTCTCCAGTCTGCTCTCTAAAGACCCCTGGGGTTTTCCCAGTCAGGCACCAGATGCCCAGGTCTCCCTTCTAGCCAATCAATTGGAATCTATGCTCAGAGAAACCCAAGGGCCTGAGCAGAAATGAAGAAAAACTTGTTGAATCTCTATCTTCTGGGTCTCTGGGATCTCTGTACTCATTAACCTCCTGCACTCTCAGGACCGTGTAGACAGGGGGTCCGATCATGCACTGCACAAGAGTGCAGTACCTATGTCCCGCATCATACAACGGACAAGAGGAGGTAGCATACAAAGGTGTGGGGAGTCTGGGCCTCGAAGCTGAGGCTGAGGTAGGACACCCAGACACACGGGAGCACACCCAGACAAAGCTAGCACAAACTCACTGGCTGCAGCACGCATGTGCAGGCTCTCTGACCCAAGCATGCTCTGTGCATCTTTGAGGTCCTCTGTCACCTGCTCACCAAGATCAGAGCCTCGGTTTCCCCATCACAGGGCTCAAAACCTGACGTAGTCCTCTCACTTGGGGGCACAGGGGAGGGCATGGGAGGGGTCAGCAGGTTGCAGCTCACTTGTGCAGCCTGGGCCTGCAGGAGGTACAGGTGTGCTCACAGCCAGGGTGGCTGCCCTCTGGGCCCTGGGAGCTCCCTGGAGAAACCCCCACCATTGTGCATTCATTTGCTTTTTAACTTGAGGACAGTGCTTTTTTTCTCTCTATAATTCACAGTCCTTTTTTTCTCTCTATAATTCACAGTCCTGTGAGTTCTGTTTCCCCTGCCCTTTCCATTCCATGGCTTCTGCACAGACCGTCCTTCCCTGGTGGGGTTCCAAACAGAGACATAAATCTGGAATATCCTAAAACTGTTCCCTCCGGGTCCCACGACCCTACCCGGCAGTTGTTTGTTCTTTGTTTGGCTTCCCTCTTTCTTGTCTCAACATCACAAGCCAGCCTGTCTCCCCTCTTGACCTCAGTTAATCCTGTCCTTGTCGCAAAGGCTTCTGTGCTTTCAGAGCTGGGAGAGATGGTGAAAATCACTGCTTCACTTGAAGAGGGGGAAACCAAGGGGACCCAGCTGTAAGTGACAAACTCATGCCTCTAGCCTCCGCCGCTCAAGCTCTTCTCATTTCACCAAACAGGTTGCCCCCATCCCCAACCTCCAGGTCCCTTGAACGGTGGGCCACTGGCATCATACACAGCCGACTGGACCCTCCAGCCCGCAGTACGTGTCTGAGCACTGTGCCAAAAACAAGCAAAGAAGAACCCATCGACTACCAACCGTGTCAACGCCACCTTCCTGACTATCCTGAGTCCATCAGTTCTCTCCTGGAGATAAGGCCAAAGAGAGGAGGAAAGACCCTTGATCCCTTCGGACGGCCAGGAGTGTGTTCTGCACCTCAGAAGGGAAACACACACGGGCCGGGCCGGGAGTTTGATTACGGCACCTGCGTACAGAGAGGCGGGTCCCTGCGGTCTCCACCAAGGAGGTATATTCTCACTGCGGCCCGGGAGACGAGGCAGCCACCTTCTCCATGTCCATCGGACATCTGCACCTTCAGCCAGCCACCTCTTTGAGAAGGTAAACAGGCACCTTTGGCCTGGGAGTCTGGAGACCAGTGACTCCGACTGGGTCACTATGCCCAGGTCTTCCTTCACAATTTAGGGCTCTGTAATTCTACTTCAAAAATGCCTTTGGACTACACAGGCACCTAAATAGCAGGCATAACCACAAGGGGCCAGAGCATGAAGCCTGGAGTGGAAGAATACCCTTGTCCCTTAGGCCACTGGCTCCACTTAAGGTTTTCTTGCTCTCAAACCGATCAGCAGTGAAATTACACAAGGCATGGGCCAGGCCACAGGCTTCAGGATATTCCACAGTTGGAGGCACTGGGTTTTGGGACCAGGGTCCTTATTCACTATACCTGGTACTTCCTTGTTCCCCTTTCAAGGCTGAGACGGAGCCATGCCGATGACAATTAAATTTAACTTCTCTGTCATTTCTGATGAGGCAGGAGAGAGCCTGGGAGTCAGCTCCCTCCTGCCCAGGGTCTGAAGCCCGGGTCACACACAGACGCGCGTGCCCTGGGGCGCGAGCGCGGACAAGGTGACAACTCACGTGGCTCCGTGTGCCGTTTTCATCCCCCACAGACGTGATCACTGTCTCTGACAAGACCGTCTGTCCAGTCTGGTTGTTGGTGCTCTACAACAGAACAAGCACGGTGAGTGTGAAACAGAAGGAACTCTGAGCAAATCCCACAACTGTTTTTCTTTTCTCTGAAGCAGGGGAATCCAGACAGACAGACAGACAGACAGACTTCCTCTCTTCTTTCCCCTCAGAGGAACAGCCTCCCCTCCGAGCAGTGTAACAGGTAGCGCAGAGTCTGCCTCGCAGGGCTGCGGTGCGGAGGGGTGCAGTGTGGGGAGGGGGTGCGGTGGTCTGTGTAAAGCGCTGGGCATACAGCCAGTCACCCAGCAAAAATTCCATGTCAGTTATTTTGATCCGGGGGCTCATCACTTGAAGCTCAAGGTAAACTTTCTTTTCAACAGCCATAGGTCTGGGTGTCTAAGTGAACATTTCTCACGAGAAGCAAGCTCATTGTAGCAACAGCTGCCCCACTCCTTGATTCAACCAGTTATTTTGTTTCAACAAGAAAGTACTTAAACATAGTTCAAGGAAGAACACACTCAGATCAAAGAAAGACACTCTAGGATTATGAAGGCATCCCTCAGATCAATGGAGGTGGCTCTCAGACCAAGAAAGGGGGCAGCTAGATCAATGCAGGCAACAGTCACTCAGATCAACTGAATTAAGAGTCTCTGGAGATGGGCCACTGCATCACTAGTTTGCAAAGCTCCCTAGGTGATCCCATGTGCAGCCACGTGTGAAAACTAGACCAAAGCTCTGGACAGCTCTAAAAACCACCCGGTATCAATGATATAAAGCCTCTGAGGATTGGGCTGGGGCTGGGAAGCTGTACAGGCTCCCCAGATAATTCTGATGCACATGGAGAATTTAAAACCAGTGGTATACACCTTGCCTTCCAGAGGATTACATCAGATGAGGGAGGAAATGACTTATGTGTGAAACTGTTGAGGAAAGTCCCTATTTGAATGTCAAAAAATGAATAAAAGACAAGGAATGATAAGAAAATATAAGTACTAAACATTTAATGATAAATAAAATAATTGGTATTAAAAAATAAAAAGAAACAGAGAAAGTACTTAAGTAGAAGGAAAGACTTGGCTCAAATAGTCCTCTATCTGTTGTCTGCCTCTGATTCTGTAGGCAGGAGCTGGTACCTCGGAGCTGAGCCTTGGAATCCTGACATGGGACCCAGGCCTTCCCCGCTCCATGTCTAATGTGTAGGTTGATGATGAAGAACAGAAAGGTTGCTGACTTAAGAGCTAGGAGATCTGTGACCTTTGAGCCTTGGCTCAACTGTCCACAACTGTTTAGTGTATGACCTAGACCAAGTCATTCTCCTTCTGATTCACAATTTTCTCATTTCTAGGTGACATTCCAAGTTCCCGCCAGCTCTCATACCACAGGAACTTGCAGCTAGAACAAAGTGAAAACTCTTATCCTAATTTATAGTAGTGAATCAAATTCCATTTCTAAGGAGATAAGAATCATGTCTTCCTTAACATACTTTAAAATTTGTATTTAAATAATTCCCCACAGCAAAGAGATGATGTCTTTTTCCTGTAGGCCAAATTTTTACAGGATTAACCAATGTTATACTTTTTTAAAATTCTACAATCTTATACATTTAGGTAGTAGAATTTATCAGAGATTTTATTATATAAAGTGCATTTTTGTATCTATATGAGGACAATATATACAATGTTTCTAAATATGGTTTACCTCCACTGAGGCCCTCTTTCATGAAGCATTGCACAGGGCAGAGCTCTCTGGAACCCACTTGAGAACTACTGTACTGTGCTGATACCATTACTTTACCACAATAACAGCAATAATAACAAAACAACTTGCCGTTGCGTAGCACTTTATAGAGTTAAAATAAACTGTCATATACATCAGGGTATTTGACCCTCACAATACTATAATGGAGATGCTGGTATTCCTATTTCATAAATGTAGTCAGTGAGGGTCAGGACATTTAAATAAATTCTCAAAATCACACTACTGGGAGGTCTCACATTTAAATATTCCGACATCTATAAGGAACAACTTTAAGCAGCAGCCGAAACTACTGGCTAATTATTGTCAGAAAGGATGACTTAACACTGGTTTTGACAAGCATAAAATAATAAATTTTGGAAACATTCTCCAGTCTTCGGATGAGAAATGCTAAAGGATTCTGTTCAGCAGGTGACTCATTCGTTTATCTGGGGGCGGCATACACTCTGCAGCTGGGCCCGGCAGCGTAGTGGGGGGGGGGGAGCCACACACAAAGGCTACTTTATAGTCAAGGCAATGGCCCGTGAAAATTGACCCCTTTGTGTTGTGTGGCACAGGAATGCCATTGTTTCAACCAAGTCATTACCTGAGCACTTGAACAAAAGTAAGGCTCTGTAGTGGGAGCTGCTGTGGCCTTGCAGAGAGGAGTTGAAATGCAATCAGAGGGCCCGCTCCTTGATCGTCACACAGAATGTCAACTCTACAGCCTCTAACAGTGATCCTGAACATCCGAATGGCAGCCTCTTCCAGATAACATAGACTTAGCCCGCTCTCAGAGTCCTGTCAGAATCACGCTGGAGACACCTCACCCCAGGAGTAGGCTAATGCCATGTTCCTCTAGATTCGCAGTGTTTTCTTCCTCAAGTCAGATTTGGAATGAAACTGCTTGCTTTTCATGCAAGATATTAGACCCAGAGACATGTGGTAGGTTGGGAAAACTCTGCTGTAGAATTTTGAATGGATAACCAGCAAACAAGATGTTTAAACTTGTGGCAATAGAGGCTTTCCCTCCTACAGACAGTGTATCACATCTGAGTTCCTCCTAAGGAAACAGTGAAGATGTACTTACCATAGCATGGACAACAGAAGTGTATTTCAACTCTACTGAAACATACATAAAAACCTAATAAGAGATAAATTCTTCAAATTCAATACTAGGAAAGTGTCTCTCTGCGGACCCTTGTTTGCTTCCTTCTTTCAAGTAACAAAAAAGTCCCTACAAATTCCTTTGCAACTGGCCTGGCAGGAAGCCTACAGTTAAATGGGTTGCTTAAATGCAAAAGCAACTTAGGTTTTTGATACATTATCTCTCCCCTTTAAACAGTTCCCTCATTCCCTCTGTTTTTTAATCTGTTCTGTACCATCCTCTTTTGTACTTTTGGCTTCTGTATCAAAATGTAAACACAAACCGTTCTCAGATGGGACTGAGGCTACAGAAAGGAGGAAGTGCTGGTGATGACTGCCCTTACCTTGTGAATTTCTCGGTGCACGTGGATGGTGTTATTTCCAACCTTGGTTTCTGTGTTGCTCTCATTGTGATAGTTGGCAGGTAAGTTTGCCAGGTTCACCTCTGACGACGTTTTCGCAGCAGCTTCTTCTGCCTCCATCTATCAAATCAATGAATTAAATGAGCAAAATTGTTTTCTCTTGATAGAAGTCCAAGTCCATTAGGAAAAAATAACCAGGGGGATGCAAAGTACAGCACAGGGAACATAGTCGATAATATTGTAATAATTATGTATGGTGCCAGGTGGATACTGGAAATAACAGGGGAACACTTTGTAAAGTACATGATTGTCTTGCCACTATGCTTGCTCTACACCTGAAATTAATACAAAATAATATTGAATGTAAACTGTAATCAAAAGAAAATTTAAAAAAAAAAAAAAGAATTGCTTTTCTTTTCCTCTTTGCATTTGTAAATAATGGTAATAATGGTAGGTACATTTAATTGAGAACCTACAAGGAAAAGACATTGTACTGAATGTTTTATATATACTATAGCCATACATATTACAACTTCCCTATGAGGTGGGTGTTAATATCCTCATTTTATAAATGGGGCAACAGAGGCTCAGGGAGACTAGATAACTTTCCAGGACTCTCCATGGCAGAGTTGGGATTTGAGCACCTTCCCACTGAACAGTCTTGGTCCCTGACCATCTCCCCATGGCCTAATCCAGAGGTCATCTGCATTCAATTCCCTTAATGCCAACAACCACCTCTGTCTCTCTTTGAGGGTATCCTCTGGTTGCCAACATGTGCTCAGTCTGCATGGGCCACAAGTGCTGGGGAGTTAACACCCAGAAACAATCCTCAACCAGGGAAGGGGAGGTGATGGGGGTAAGTACTTCAGCTCCCTCTCCCCTCGATGGGACATTCTCTCTCAGAGGACCCCCAGAGGGATGGAGCCCTAGCTGGCCTTAGCAGTAACCTGCTCATTAGTGCAGTCTTTATTGCTTTTTTTCTCTTCCTTCCCACCCTTCCCCTTCCTCCTAGTGTTTCTAGGATCACTTCCAAAATAAATTATTTGCTCCCAAACCCTTGTTGCAAGTTCTGGTGGTGGTGGTGGTGGTAGAGAACTCAAACTACGGCAGCCCCTTCTCCCCCACAGGTAGGGCTGCAGTTATGTCTCTTTCCCCATTCCACCTCTTGAGTATAAGAGGGCCCTTTGCAGAGGGTCAGTGGACCAACACCTGCACCCAATCTCCCTTCCAGATGTGTCACCCTGCCCCACCCTGATGAGCGGGCTGTTGACAACATGACCCATTCACAGCTGACTGGACTCAAAGGGAGGCCACCTGATGGAATGGTCGGGCAGATCGGATACTCTCTGCAGGAATTAAAAGTGAGAGGCTCAGAGAGAAGTTCTAGTTGGTGGCTGGCAATCTTCCAATGCTACTGTCTTTGACTCTGGGCTATTTTCATTTCTTAAAATGAATCTTCAAGAGTTCCCTTTAAAATAAAAAATCACTGTCCTCTATCTCCTTAGATACTAAATGAGGTCCCTCTTTTCCTTCCTCTTCCCACCAGATTTGCTGAGCTGGGGTGGATATGGGAAAAGAATTTCCATGTCTAAAAAACATGAACTAGAAGTGTGAAGAAATTCTGATAGGCACAAAGGCTTAAATAATCATAGGGGGACTTGGTCGTGACTGCTGTGTTTGACTCCAAGATTGCTGAGATGTTTCAAGTGGAGTAATGGCTTCGTTATCATCATTGCCAGCACTACCACCATTATCATCACAACAGCCTCCATGTCCGGGCATCAGCTGTGTGGAAGCCACTGCACCAGCCACCTACCACGTCCCCTTCAATATACACAGTGACACGATGAGGAAGGTTATTACCCTCATTTTGCAGATGAAGAAAACATGGTTGAGAGAGGTGACGGGATCTGCCTCAGGTCATCACACTCTTAGTCAGTAGCCAACCTCGGACTGGAACTCAGGTCAATCTGACTGCAAACTCTGTGCTTTCCCAGTACATGACTCTGCCCGAGTAGCTCATGCTTTTACTGGGGAGATAGGAGAACCCCACACAAACCAGTTTGAGGATAATCATGATGGTCTCTATAAGCAAGTCAGGGGTTCAAAGAAGAGAGAAAAAAGGCTTCCCAGGAGCAGGAGGAGGCATGACTGGGTTGGTCTCGGAATGGGTAGGATTTGGACAGAGAGGAATGTAAAGATGGCAAAGCTGTGGCAGCCTGGACAAGAATCATGCGCGTTGGGGGCTAGAGCAGAGGGTCCATGCTGGGCACAGGATAAAATGGTGGATGATGAAGTGGAGGGGGTTCAACAGGCAGATGCAGGGGCAGTTCTAGAGCAGAGGGTGTGATAAACAGAGAGAAGGGGGGAGGGGGGCTGGAAGAGATAAACCAAAGAACTTCTATGCATATGTGTATAACCAATGTACACAGACAATAGTGTGGGGAAGGCAGGAGGGAGGGGGCGGGAGTGGGGAGAAGGGGCTTAAGGGGGGAAAATGGGGGACATCTGTAATACATTCAACAATAAAAATAAATTTAAAAAGAAAAAAGAAAATAAAGCAGAGGGCGTTGTCCTGGTTCTCAACTAGGAGGGTACGGCAGAGTCACACCCTAAACTTTAAATATATTAGAATTTCAGCGGGGAGAGGGGGGTACCTCTCAGATACCAGTGAGCTTCTGGGATGACTGGGGTACTCCCTCCCTCCCACTTGCTCCCAGGTAAGAATCTGTGCTCCAAGCAATAAAGGGGAATTGCAGCAAGTTCTGAAGACTAGTTGGGAAAGTACAGAGAATACACAGAAGAAAAAGAAGAATCCATCCAGGGGCCTGGCTAGAACCAGGTATGGGGGTAGGAAGTTATAGCTGAGGAGGGTCAAGGCTGCGAATACATCTAGAAGGACAGACCAAACCACTGACAGCTGGCCACTGGATTAGGCAAAAAGTTGCCCCCAGCATCTCCCAAGGCAGCACAGTAGAAAGTGCAAGGGTCCCGGGGTCAGGTAAGTGGGGCCAAGTCCCAGCCCTACCACAAAGCAGCTGAGTGACTCTGGGCAAGATAACAAATGTCTCCTAAACCCCAGCCTTCGCTTTTTGTAAAATGGGGGGATGATCCTACATAAATCCAAGCGCTGGGTCCAGTATGTGCCATCCAGCAGAGGTGTAATAAACAGCTACTTTAACAAGACTGCCCTTTAAGAAAGCGTGTTTGCCGGGGAATGTGAGTAGAAGTGGAAAGAACAGATATCTATCTTGTGCTTGACGAGTTTGCTAACAAATGGGGAAGAAATGAAACAGAGCTGAGATAGGAGACAGGATGGGCACAAAAAGGACTTCATTTTTTTTTAATTTTTTTTTTTTTTTGTACTCGAGAGAGCCCGGCATGTTTAGTGATAGAAAAGATAGAGCTGGAAAAGAGGAGACTGCAGATGCTACAGAGGCGACTACCCAGGAGATGGGAATGTTTTTATGTTTTTAAAATTCCCGTGAGAATTTGAATCCTCCGGTTTGGCTTTCAAATAATTGACAAGTTACCAAATCTAGTTTGCTTTGGGCTGAGCAGATAGTCTTTTCATAAAACTCCCTCTCAACCAGTGGTTATTTCAGCAGAATGAGCTAACAGTTCTTTAATGGCACCACAAACTAAAAGTACAGTTTACAATGGAAATTTCAACCACAACTATTACTGCCACTAGCAAGGAAAACTTAAGCCTGAAGCAATAGGACTTGTTTCATAGAGGAGGAATGTGAATGTTATGTAAAATGGCATTTATGGTTGGTTGAATTTGTGTGTCTGTTAAAGGGGCACAGTAGGAAAAACCGGAGATAAATCCAGGTTTGGTATTGGTATCCTTCCCAGGAACATTCTAAAATAGGCCAGTTACAGACTTACAGACAAGGCAATGAGTGTGTGGGTGAGGAGGGTGGAGTGGTCTTATCCTCAAAATACATTTATCAGTAACATATAGAATAATAAGACAGGAAAATAGGAACAAACTGGATTAAACCATCTGAAGATTTGACTCCCCCAATAATGACCCTATGAGTTGTGTTAATTTCACCTTTCCCCCTTAGAGAAATCAACAGCTTGAGTCAGCTGGAATATTTAAAATGTCAGGAAGTTACTTGAAAGCAGATTCATGATGCAACTACGCAAACACTTAATGCATCTGGCCCAGTCCTTTTTGGTTCTTACCAGGGAAAACAAGTAAATAGCAACTGTCCTGCATTTATGAGATTTAAGGGGCCTTCTGGCTATCTCTTTAAAAAAACAATATCGATAGCCACAATCTATTGAGAATCTATTATATATCGGACATGGTGGTTCTTTGTTTTTATTCATACTATTACTATTACTATGATGATAATAATAGCCTTAATATTTATTGCTCATGAACAATCTCCCTTAATCCCTATATTAACCTCATCAGGGGCTGATATACTTAACCCCATTTTAAATGGTCAGATAACTTACTTTACTGCATCCGCTCATTTAATTCTCTCCTTTACCCTAAGAGGCGGACATTTTCTCCATTTCAGAGCCTGGATGCCACCACTAGTAAGTGGCAGAGCTGGGATCAGATAAAGGAAGGTTGGTCCCCATAGCCCGTTCTCCTGACATTCAGGTGTTCAGCTTCTCTCTCAACCTGTCCCCACTGCTAGCGAGGACACTCTTTGGGAAACCACCACTGACTGGGGTAGCAGTGGCAGCCAATGTCTCCCCTGGTGGAAAACTTCAGTTAGCCCATCTGCACAAGTCAAAGAGCCACATCTGGAGGGCAGAAGGCTGGGGCCCAGGCAGAGCCAACGTGGACAATTCCCATAGAGCAGACCCTACTATTAAGGTCCTGCTGGGTCCCAAACTGCTCTGATCAATGAAGAGCCTGAAGAGTCCCTGCTACTCCCTCATCTCCCTCACCAGGAGGTACCAACAGAGAACCACGCCACATGAACAAGTTCACATCAAATAAAAACACCAGTGACCTAGTCAGTTACTGAGAATCTATGTGCAGGAGGCAAAGTCCTGGAATCCAGAGAAGGAAACCAGAAGGGCCACGAGCTCAATTTAATCTGAAGGCGCAGAAGTAAGAGAAAGTGGGGCCTATCTGACGCCCCTCCCTCTTTAACTGTTCCACGGCATGAAGTCTTGTGCTTTCACGGGAAACAAAAAGTCCATGGGCTTTAGAATCTGGTTCGTGTGAATGTTCAGGTACTGATATCCATGTAACTGTCTCCCAATCCAATGTCCCCTTCATTGAAAACTCCAGGTTGACTGTTATGGAAGGAAGGGGATGTATTCCCAGACTTCACAGAGCGGAGGGGAGAAAGCAACTTTGTCTGGTAGACCAGAGCCAGTAATGGAAGCTTTGCCCAAATGGATGTGAAGACATCTGACCCATTGGCCTGGACATCTGGTCTCTTGCTAACTCTTCTCCAAAGACAGGCTGCAGTGAGAGCTGGACCCAACAGTGACTATGCCCACCCACCCCAGGAGCCCAAGATAGCTCCCCACACCTGGGCTGGGCCAGCTGCACCTTCTAGCCTGGCAGCCCTGGCAATGTTGTGTACCCACCATAGAGGATGCTATCCATAGTGTTTGGACATGGGAAGTGATGGAAGGAAGAAGCCAAACAAAGTTTTGCCTGGGTACCTGATATCTGATATCAACAATTGCTATATATTATATGCTAGGTGCCCACACATATCATGGCATTTAATTACCACAGGAAACTGAGGTACAGAATGTTAAGGGATTTGTCCAAAGGCACCTGCTAGTGAGTGGCAGAAGAGGACCTGAAGCTCAGGACTGACTCCAAAGCACTTTTGGGGTGGAGGTGAGATTACTTTTCACATTACCTCTCTTCCTCCCACTCACCACCCTCTGATAATTCACACTGCTGGGTTCAGGATTCCAATTTTCCTTCTCTGCCCCACGTGGCATTGGGGGGAGACCCAAACAGATGACAGGCAAAGCTCAGGGCTCTTGATCCCCACATGGCATCCTAACTGTGTCTTGGGAAGATGGCGCAAGCTCAAAACCCAATGGACAAGCTAGAACTTGAGATACCTGAAGCTTCCTCAGTCTCTGCAAAACCACAAGGTTGGAATGCCAGGGGCCTTGCAAGCATCAACTTACAAGAGAGGGAGGCGGGCAGCCTGCAGACAGGTGGTGAACCAGGCTGGTTGCCCGTGGGTGGGTCCAGCCGTAGGCTCTCGGTGGAGAGAGTCAAATCCAGATTTATTGGCAGGAAGGCCGACGAGGTGAGAGTTGGGCTCACTCCCACTGCCTCCAGAACACTCCGAATCTGCTGCCGGCACTTCCCAGCCTATCCGCAGACCCGAGGGCTCAGGCTAGTGCTGGGAGCACTACCTCCGGCCGCCCAGTCACCCCCAGCCCCAAGCCTTGCGCTTCCCAGAGCCCTCCCGGCACACACACCTCCTCCACCGCGCTGCGCAGTTTGTGCTGCGTGTCCTCCATCAGTTCCTCCACCTCCTGGAACATCTCGTTGAGGGTGGCCTCTTCCCTCGGGTAGCTAAGAGCCAGAGCCTGGCCGAGCTCGACGGGAGCCGAAGTCGCTGTCGGAACCGAAGTCGCTGTCGGAACCGAAGTCACTGTCGGAGCCGGCACTGGGGCCACGGGGACCACCGCCACCAGCAGCAGGCACAGCCGGGTGCCCCAGAGTCGCCGCATCTCAGCTCTGCGCCCAACGCTGCTGCCTCCGCCTGTATCCCAAAACACTGTTAGAGCGCGCAGACCACCCCCTCGCCAGCCCCGCCGCCCTGCCCTGCCCCGCCCCGCCGCCCGGTCACTCGGAGTCCCGGCCGCCTCTGGCACCCCTCTTCCCCGCACCCACCCCCAGATGGAACGAAACCGAGTTTCCCCAGACGCAGCTCCCTCGGACCGAGAAGCAATCCCCGTTCCCAGCCACGCGCCCATGCGCTCTGATCCCCTCGGTACCCCTACCCCCATCCTCGTGCACAGGATGAGCTCTGCCCACGCCCCTAGTGATGGCTCCTTCCCCCGAGTAACAGAACCCGGGTCCCCTACGCTAGTAGTCCCCAGCTCACCCTACCTCCTGGGTTCCGCGGGTTCGAGTCCTGCCTTCTCCTCGACCAGGTCAGAGCACAGCGCTAGTGCTGCGACCCCAGTCCCATCTCAACCCTACCCCCCAGCCCTATCTGGGTGGTCAGAGCTCAACGCCCCTCTGAGCCGAACCGAGTCGAGCTTCGGGCCTCTCGCCCACCCAGGCAAGTCCAAGCAGAGCCATCCCCCTCCCCGCCGCCGCCCCTCACCCACCCGACTGGACAGAGCTGTGCTCCAGACTGGACCCGCCAGGCCTTGCCCGGAGCCGCCTCGGGACTGCGGGAGCCGGAGCCGGAGCCGGAGCCGGAGCCGGAGCGGCACGGTGGGCGGGACGCGGGCGCAGGAGCGCGGAGGGGATGCGGCGCCGGTACCAGAGCGAGTCCCAAGCGCGCCCCGCCCGCCCGCCGGCCTGGCCCCCGCCCCGCGGGAGGGGCTGCGCTCAGCCCGCCGCCATTGGCCAGCTGGGGCGCCGGCGACCTCACGCCCCAGGTCTGCCTCCTCTGCCTCGGACGTCCCCTCTATAGGAGCCGTCCCCTTCCTTGAATTCCAGTAGCCCCAGGACATCCCGGTCCATTGTCTCTGGCTTGGATCCTTGCGAGGGCGTGCTGGAGGGGAACGGGAAAGATGGTGCCCCTGCGTCCACCTGGCGCTCTGCAAGCCATCCTCCTCCCCGCACGTAGCCCTGCAGTGTGAACTCCCAGCGTCCAAGGGCCATCAAAGGCTGACCTTTATCTGTTTGCCATGGTTGGCACCGTACTCCAGCCAAGAAAGCCCACTTGTAGCTCCCGGAGTAGGTCAGAAGGTCAGCAGGGCTGCTGAGGCGGCACGCGGAGAGGTTAAGACCGCAGCCAGGCTGCGGGGAATCCCAGCGCGGCGCCTTAGGCGGGCTGTCTGGTCAAGTTTCAGATCCGCCCGCGCTCGGGGAGCCGCAGGTAAAATGGAGGCTGCAGCTGTAGGCGTGCCTCCCGGTTCACAAGCTGCACGCGTGTGGGAATTGTGCGGCACGCGTGGGTTTTGTGTTAACCGTCACAATGGGAACAGAACTCCTTCCCAGCAGTCTCCCCAGCGCCTCGAACAGGAGGCTCTCACTATTTTTGTAAAAACTATGTGAGTGCCCAGAACAGGGGCTATTCACATATCTTTTGAATAAACAAGTGTTTTACGTGTCAACCTCCTGCCATTTCTTCCTATTACTCTTTGGGTCCTGACATGGCCCGAGCACCATGCTTCCTCATTGCAGCCCCTGCCTTCCCATGATCTACCTGGTCACTGACCCATCTTCCCCCAGAGACCAGGAGCTCCCGGGAGGCAGCGACCGACTTGCTCGCTTTTGTGTCACCAGGGCTAGAGCCATTATACACATTTGGTCCCCAAGAAACAGAAGGGCTGATCGTTATAACACTATCAATATGTCATGTCGATCCAGCAACATTACTGAGCACTCACTGTGTGTCAGGAACAGGTCTAACTCATTTAATTTGTAACCTCCGCGGCTGCACTACTACTTCTGTCCCCATTTTACAAGTAAGGGTACTTTCCTAAGTCCACAAAGCTAGTAAGTGGTTGGACTGGGATTTGAACCTAGGACTGTGGCTCCAGAGCCTTCACCCCTCGCTGTCCAGCTCCTCTGCTGTAAGCCTGGCTGGGAGGTGTTGCATATAAAGATGTGTACTGAAGCAGGAAAATGGACAAACTGGGATTTCTACAAACAATAGAATACAGCAGTTACAGTAATGAACACTATTCCTAGGCAACCACATGGATAAATCTCAAAGAAACGTAATGTGGAGTGGAAAAGGCAATTTGCAAAATGATAGGTACAGAATACTATTTGCATATTTAAAAAAACACAAAACAATGGTACATGCTGTGTATGGATGCTACAAATGTAGGAAAAAATACGGAGATGTGCGGGCTGCCTCTGAGGTGGAAAGCCGGGGAGGAGATGGGGCCCATCTTCATTTGTATTTATAACATTTTATTTCTTTTTCAGAAAGTGTACCAGTGTGGAGGAGTTCTGAAGCAAAAGTGTCCAAATATTCACATCTGTTTAATCATCATAGTTGACTAATTATATGTGAGTTTATGGATGTGTCTGTTGTATTATTTCTGGTATATTTTAAATAGTTTATGAATATATTGAAACAAAACAAAACAACAAAGAGCGAAAGGCAAGCTCTCCCCCACCCCCCGCCCTGCCCCTCACAAAACAAAATAAAAAACCTCTTATGGCCATGAATGTTACAGTCTGAGGAATAGGGTAGACCTATGTAGTCTGTACCCTACATGGAAGTAGGGTACAGACTGACAACCCTCAGAAGAGGGGGTGGTGGTGGGTGGGAAGAGATAAACCACAGAACTTATATGTATGTAGGCATAACCAATGGACATGGACAACAAAGCCGGGAATGGGGTGAGGGGGATGGGGAGGAGGGTGTCAATGGGGTAAAAAAAGGAGAAACATCTGTAACAAAAATAAAATTAAAAAAATAAAAAAGCAAAACAAAACAAAAAAAACCTCTTATGGCCAAACAGACTTTTCTTAGATCTGATTTTTGTTTTCAAGTATTTGTGTTGATTTTCAGAGAGAGAGAAAGGGAGGAGAGAGAAAGAGAACCTTTTGGTGCACTACTCCCAACCACAGCGCCCAGGGCTCGTAGATCTGTGCCTGATGAAAATGTGCACCTCCGGAGGCCCAGCAGTGGCCTCCATTTCTGTGAGGTGCGAGGCAGGAGTGGGAGGAGCCACGCCAGGCTCAGGTGGAGGGGCAGTGGCCTCCATTACTGTGAGGTGCCAGGCAGCAGTGGGAGGAGCCACGCCAGGCTCAGGTGGAGGGGTATTTCTCTTCATAAAAGGCCCTCTGTCTGTCTGCTTGAGTGGTTGGAGAGTTTCTCCTGGGAGGCAGCTGGAGCCAGTTAATGGCTCTGGGCAGCAGATAAGGCTTATCTGTCCCCTTCCCAGGCAAGGGCACAGTATACAATCAAGGAAACCTCAGATATCCAGAACTTACGGGCACTCAGCAGGATAGGGGGCTATTATGCACTGATTTTTAACATTTTAACCACTCAGAATAATTAATCAGACCAGGGGAGGTTTGATTACACATTTCTCTCTTTTTCTTTCCCTTCCATCTTAAATAGACTGGGCTAAACATAACTTGGGAAAAAATGTGAAGAGCAGGTTCAGAGATAACATATCTGCGTGACTATTTAATATCTCTTTTCCCTGCCAGAATGCAAGCTATGTGAGATTGCATGGGATGAGGGGTGCAGGATGCTTGTCCCTGCAACCATCTCCAGTCCACCTGGGCCTGCAGAGAGCTGGCATTCAATAAGGAGATACTGAATGCACGAGGGGCCTGCTAGAGGCCGGGATTCTGGCCCACAAGGAATCTACAGTATATTAAAAAACAGAGAAGTAAGCGGTTAATGACAGCACAGTAGGTGGAGGAAAACACAGAGGGTGAGGAGCTACAAATTGCCAGTTAGAAAAATAGTCACAGGGATGTAAAGTACAGCAAAGGGAACATAGTCAATAATATTATAATATCTATGAATGGTGCCAGGCGGGTACTAGACCTGCTGGGGTGATCAGCTGGTCAGGTATATAAATGTCGAATCACTATGTTGTACACCTGAAACTAATCAAATGTTGTCTGTCCATTGTAGTGGAAAAACAAATAAAAAATAAATAAATTTAACTAAAGACAGTAATAAAAGCTAACTCCTTCCAGAGCATCCATGGGGAGCTGTCCATCCGTGGTCCAGTGAGTTCTGGTGGGAGTGGGGGATCGTGTGGTATCCACACGGATGACCTATCTCTCAATCTACATTTACTTTGACTGGACTGGAGATTGGATTCTTTCTTGACTCATCAGATTCTTTGTTGTATTTTGAGACTGGAGATACCCTTCAGCTGCTTGATGACAAAAGCCAATATGGAGAAAGTCAGAGAGAGAGGGAAAGAGGGGGAGGGACATTCAGAGAAATGAGACCCCATGAGCCCGAGAGGGGAGTAATGGGGAAGAAGAACGTAGCTGCTTCACCCCCTGATGTCGTTCTGGTGCTTGGTTGTAGACTTCTGTGAATCTGAAACCCAGCTGCACCGTCTGCCTGTAGACTCTGAGATGTTTTTGGACTCTTCCCTTTCTTTCTGTTTGAGCTAGCTTTATAACTTTCTGTTACTGGCTACCGAACTGCCTGGGGTGGGGCTGCCTATATTTTAACAAGGCAATTCTTTTTCAAGGAAGGTTTGCCTTGGAGAAGATTACTCCTCCTCTCTGAGAACCACGGATTAGAAAGAGAGGGCCACAGGTCCTTCGGACAGGGAAATGCCAGCCAGCGTCCTCCCCTTTGCGAGAGCACCCCTGATCCACAGTGCCAGCCACCAGTCTCACCGAGCCCTCCCAGGTCCTGCCTGGAACTTGTGATTGTTCTGATGAAACTGGTGCCAAGATTTTTCTGAATGGAAACTCCATCTGGCTTTGGAAAGAGTGTTCACGTGGATTCAGGGTTTCCATGAGTAACAGCCACTGAATATCCAAAACATACATTTCCTTTGCCAAGTTTCCGTGGGGAGGTGAACAAAAGTGACCCAGAGGACCATATTCCTGGCCATCACCCTTGGAATGCAGCACAGGAGGGATGAGCCCCGAGCCTGGCTGTCTTGTTTTTTTATTTAGCAGGTGGATTCATGCTCTGCGCTGTGTAGTCCTGCGTGTGTGTCTGAAGTGGAGGAGGATGACCAAGGAGCAAGAGAATTTTGGTGGAGCCAGTGCCAAAAAAGGAAAAACACAGAATTGATATTTTAGGCAACTATGGAGGAAGAATGTCTAGAAATGTGTTTCTACCCAATTCTGGCCATTGCTTGGAAATAGAACGATGAGTTTATTTCTTCCTCAGGGCAATCTCCAGCGTCAGGTACATAACAGAATCACCTGTAAAGTTTGCTAAACAATGCCGATGCCTGGGTGTGTGTACTTGGGAGATGCTGGCTCAGTCAGTATGAGACGGGACCCTTCTGGCTACATTTTGGAATGGTCCTTGCTGAGGATTCTGTTATCATTGGGCCGCAACAAAAAGCTCCCCTCCCATCCCATCAGCCTTTCCTCCCATCTGTGCAGCAGTGTGGTCAGGCCAGCAGCGCTTGCTTTCTCACAGATGTGCTTGGAAGCTGCTGGAGTCATGGGAAGAAGGCTGGGCTTGGAGCTAGATAGTCCTGGGTTTCGGCTCTGGCTCTGATCCTGACTGACACGGCCTGCATAGCCTCGGGTTCTCTAGCTTATGGACATGTTAGTGCCCAGACTCAGGGCTCCGAGTCCGCACCTGCTGTC